CAATATTTCAGAAAATTATTTTTTGGCCTTGCTATGTGAAAGTCAACTGAACAAAGCCCTAGACATGAAGCCTAAAACAATACTTTTTAAAAGCCATTCTATTAAAAAACAAAATCATGCCATTTTTAATCAATTGCTAAAATTGCTGTTCATACTGCATACATTTTATTTTATACTGCTAATGTGTAACTAACAAACCTGATTAGATTAACACAAATCTGTCTTAATTACACCATTATATCACTAGATAGACAAATGCCATGGAATTGGCAGAAACATTAAATTGAAAGCACTTAAATAGCAGGATAAGAGTTTGTTAATGCTTCACATTAAGGAGAAACAGTCCTGCAGCCCCACTTTACAAAAAAGTGTTCTGCTATAAAATATTAAGTGAAGGAGGAGCTGTATTTACTATTTGTAATACAAAGCAACTTACAAGTGTGAAAGGTAAGTACAAATTCTAAACATATTTGCAAATACACAAAGCAACTGAAACACGTTAACAATGTATTAAATACAGTACAACTTAAGTACACAGTAACCAGTTAACATAAAAAACATAAATCAAGAGTTATATTTTAGAACCTAAAGGAGGCAAGTTAAAAACAAATCAAAAATTAAAATACAGTTTTCATTAGTAATCTTTTTCTATCATAATTAAGTCTGCACATCCTTTAAAATGGTGTGAATGCCGCACAAAAGTATTTGTAACCTTTGGGGGGGGGGGGTTGTACTTGAACAGATATTAAGAATTATTTTTACAACAAATGGCTTCCGTTTTCACTTTGTTGTGTTAACAATGCACACACAAATGTCTTCCTTAAAAGTTATCATAGTCTTTCTTGTCTTTTTTCCCCTCAGCTTCAAATCCATCAACTCCATCACTGTCCCTTCTCCTTTTTCGATTGCTGTGAATATTGAAACGCTGGTTCATCTGGGGCAAAGGATCCATTCCTAGAACTTTGTGGATCTGACGGAATGCAAGAAGTCTCAGTGCAAACTGACAGCAGAAGGAAGGAAAAAGGAAATCAGATGGATTGAATTTCAACTTCATGAGAACAGAGGCCGGTTAATTTTAATATGTCATTTTCAGCAGCAAAAATCTTACTTAACACTTTTTTTTTTCAGTACAAGAATTGGGTAACTTACCTGGAACTCCAGTCATCTGTGAATTACATAAGTTATGCATCTCTACACATTTGGAAATTGCTGGTTTACAAAAGAGTTTAGTGTGCGGACTTTTTGCTGTATCTGATTATCATGGAATTCCAAACTATGAGAAGTTCAAGTGGCATTTTGTGATGTCTATGTTTATATTCAGAGTCTTGGATGTAAACTCTCCGTGCTGACATGAATATATCAGTAGTGAGAGCATTGATTTAAAAAAGCTGTCTCAAAAATATTTGAGATGGCAATGGTCCCTAACTGGTGACCTTCCTAGAAATATTAAAGTACCTATGAAAAGACAAATAAAGAAAAAATGAGAGGAATCTAGTCCTCAAGAGATTTTTTTCCAAGAAGGAAGAAATGAGATGCTTAGAAATGATGGTATGATATAGTAAAAATTTAACCTAGAACCTAAAACGATAAATTTGCAAAATGCTCCAGAAAACCTAAATATCATCTCTGTTATGGAATCACACAGATCTTAAAAGTGAGCCGTGAGATCCCAAAATCTATGATATAAATGAACATCACAGTTGAATCATGGTCATTTGGATGCCTGTAAATTTGCTATGTTTTGTGTCTAAACAATGCCAACATCTAGCTAAAACATCTTGATATGAGATGTTAACACTTTTTCTAGCTGAAAGTTTGATACTTTGGTCAAAATGTGAGTGGGATGAAAATTTGTTATAGAAAGCATCTAAAGCCTGTAAAAGATATTCGAGATAACTGCATTATAGAATCATTATTATCAAGTTCAGAGACACTGACATTAACCCCACTACAGAATGAAAACAGCATGCATTAGAATTTGAGACTCCACAAGATACATGTCATCTCAGGAAATACAGGGCTAAATTACTGAGATAAAGACGAGGATCTTTGTCCAAACGGGACTTATGAAGGGAGATAAGAAGGTATTATGGAGTAATAGATCTTAAGGCAAGCCTATTTCAGGTCTCTTCTTCTGAGATTGATTTCTATATGAGGAGAAATTGGGGTCAATTGAGCAATATGAGCTAAAAAGGCCATCAATAACAGAATTTGTGTATTAGGGTTAGAGAAGGACATGATGGAGAAGAATTAGAGGCTTGGAATCAGGGAAGTGACAGGCCTTTATCCATCTTTTTCTTTTTGTCTTGCATGGAATTAGGTTGGCAGCAGTGGTGGGTTCCGGATCCCGTTGCAACTGGTACGGTTGCAACGGGGCCCACCATCCTTCACATGAACATGCACAATGTGCGCATGAGTCATACCTGCCAGTGACGCCTCTGCAAACCGTGACGCTCCAGCTGCTCAGCAGAGTGTCGCACAGGTGCTGTACGTGCCATGCACGTAAGTGCTGAAGACTTTAAAGAACAGGTAAGGAGCTCGGGTGGGCCCTCCAGAGCACAGTACCGGAACGGTACCTGGTGCTCTGGGCAGGCTCTGCTACACCCGTACTGGGGCGTACTGCCTGCAACCTACCACTGGTTGGCAGACCACTCAGAATGCTTTGAACCTATAACCGTAATGCAGGGTCCAATGCTCTATGGGCAATGGGAGTGTGAAAGAAGCTAAAAGGATACAAATGCTTTGGAAACTGCTACCTTTAAAAGCTGTTCCCAGGAAGTGGGAGAGTCTGGGTATATGCTCTTCATCCAAGCAGAAAAAGCATTTATTATGCTCCAATGCCAGCATTTGCAAAATGGATTCTGAGGGTAATAAGTCTGAAAGATGGGTCCTGATGAACAAGACAATAATGATTGTCTTGTTATGATGAAGTTTTGAGAAGAGTCGAGCGAAGAAGGGGAAAAAAAGACCCCAGGAAATCAGATCAACCAATACTATGTTAGTTGAAAAAAAGGGGTTCACAATGGAAGTCATACTTAATTGTATGGCATGGGGAGGTGAGTGGGGGAAACAGGATACCAGCTAGTTAATTTTTTAAGTTCTAGAAGATTCTGAATTGAGCTCTAGATAGACACATTGCCCAATATACATGAATGATAGGACACCATGGTGGACCTAGCAGGTGTTTTAGTATTTGGTAACTATGTTATATGCATAATGAGGCAAGCAGGTACCAGCTAGAATTTCCTACATAACATTTCATTTTTGCTCATCTACTATTGTTTCCTTAGTGACTTCATTTTTAAAAGTCAAGAGCAATTATAAATAAAATGTTAGCACATGGATAGGACAACTAGGGAATATTAGGGCTGTAAACTAGACAGGAAAGTAAAAAAACAACAACCCATAAACAATGCAGTAGCAAGCTCTTTGATACCATTGACAAGAGAATTGTATGTAAGTGTCCATAAATCAATACAAATTAAGACTGACTCAAAGAAAACTTAAATAAATTACCAAGTTATATAAAACATATTCCATTTACTTAAAAATAAGTGTTGAATACTACTGGGTAAAACATTGATTTTCAGCTCAAATTATATTGTTGGCTTGTTTATCTTCAAAAAGTTCTTAATTCACAACATTAAATTACCTGTGCACTTGAAGTAATGTCTTCTCTTTGTTGATCTGTCATTAAAGCCAGGGTATCAAAAGGATCTTTTTCACAAGGATCAAGAAGTCCAGGACCACCTACAAGAAACCGGATATACCAGAAATATTATTTTATCCTTACTAAAATCTAAAAAAAGAATATGTTAAAGAGTCACTTTGGATAGTGAGAAAAACAGTATAAATTTAATAAATAATCAGCAAAACTAATTATCAAGAAAATACTGATTTTGGTTATCAATCAACTTGCCTTTTAGAATAATTCCTGAAGATATACACTCAAATACTCTTCTCAATGCATCTCCAGGGCTTTGTGGTCCAGTAGCACTGCTAATTGCCTTTTCTACTAATAATTCCATTGCCTAAATAAATAAGCAAAAATAAGCCACTGCCTACATTTTCATTTAAATCACATAGCGTTCCTTTTGGTTTAGTACACCAGAGTTCAGTGATCACATTCCATCCATGGCTAAACTATGGTACCAACTATATCAAGAAACTTGCTTGAGAAAAGATACTGTATTTTTTGGAGTATAAGACGCACCAAGGTTTTGAAGAGGCAAATTTTAAAAGTAGGTAGGTAGATAGAGGGATATATATATATATATATATAGAAATACAATAGGTAGGTAGGGAGAGAGAGTAGGTAGGTAGGTAGGTAGATGTTTCCAGGTGTATTTA